AAATTATTCTTATTTTACCAAGTTTAGCCTAACACTTTTGGATCCTAAGTAATCATTTCATTTATTTTCATTAATTCTACATTATCCCAAATCTAATGAGTGCCTACAAACACCTTCAATCAAATTGGCACAAGGAATAATTAAAAGAAAAGGGCAAGGACACCCCTAGACACACCCCTCCACTTGATCTCAGTCTCTTCACAGCTGCTCAGTCGACGATGAAGACACGGTTCATCCAGAAGAGTACTGCAAGGACTGCCGCGCGCCTTCCAGATTCGTCCCAAGGTCTCCGCCTCCCCAGCATGTCTGCTGGGCAGGTGTCGAGGCCACTCTGGCTTCTTACAGATCCGTGACACAGCCTCAGGGACTTGCCAACCATTGATCTGGTAGGCTAAGACATCCCTGGGACCAGGTACACAATGAAGGGCCACTGATCTGACAGGCCAAGACATCCCTGGGACCAGGTACACAAGTAAAGACCAGAATTCAGTGAGGTCCCTGCTTCCCCTTTTGAAAAGCTTGAGGATCAGAGTTTTCACACTTGGTCTTCCAGCCCTCCTTTGGTTTCCTGTGACTTCTAGAGACAGCCTGTTCCTGGGGTTCACGTTGCCTCCGTACACAGAGAGCGAACGTACCCAGGTAAGAGACCTCAAATCCCAGTGGAGCAGCTGGGAATTTTCTCTCAGTCGCTGAAAACGAATATTGGCATAAAGCCCGCACTGGCCTGGTTCCGTGTCCGGGCTGAGGGGGCTGCTGTGTGCCCACAGAACTAGGGGACACCCTCTGACGCTGTCTGCTCCTGAAAGAGAGACTCTGCCTCTTAAAGGGCAAAGTCACTGACATGAAACCAGAGTCTTCCAAAAATATCCTGGGAAAGAGGCAGATATCTATTTAGACACGAAAATAGAAAAACACACATTTTTGCTTATCAGCTCTTTATTTCCAGATGCGTGATTCAGTACGGCAATCAAGTCACACCAAACAAAAATAAATAAACAAAATAAATACATCTTACCACTCAAAGATGCTTCATTCTTTTCTTGGGGGGGGGGGTTGCTAGCACGTGTGCTCGCCAGAAAGAGACAGAGAGACAGAAAGCGAGAAATCACCCCCCAGGGGGGATGGCCATGCTGCAATCCCTTTTCCTCCCGGGATCTTGGGCACGCACGCACAGGTGCCGGGCCTGAGTTTAAGCCACCAGGTCTGGGACACATACTGCGGTCAACTACGTGGGAGTCCAGCGACATAGCCATTACGCCACCTGCTGGTCCCAAGATGCTTCATTCTTTGTTAGAATACTTAAGATGTTCTTTTAAGTTACTAAAAGTAACATGTTAAAAAGGGTCTTTTCTATGTAAATAAACCAGGTATAAAAAAAGAAATCAAAGCCTCATCGCTGAACACCAGATTTTAAAAGCACCTGGATGATGGGGTTGTTTCTACTCAAATAAGGACACTCAGTCATTTCATTTCCGGCAGCGTCACTGAGGGACTGTGCCTATGTAAACGTGCTTGGGCGCTATGCTTAGCTTACACTGCCACCTGGCGGCGTCCTGCATGTGCGGACTTCAGCCCCACTGGAATTCTGGAATTAGCATCCATTTAGCAATGTCTTCGCAGCATCAGGTATAATGACTTAATGCTTCCTGTAAGATCTTTAAAATGGTGTGCAGATCTTACACGGGCTCTTTGTTAAGCAAATTAAGACAAATCACATCTCAATCACATCATTTATACTTGAGCACATCTAGCATAATGATGAGTAAATTCATACAGAAAAATTTTTAACAAAATAATTAAGGTAGGGGGACCAGCAGTTAGCGTAATGGCTATGTCGCTGGACTTCCACGTAGTCGACTGCGGTTCGATTCCCGGACCTGGTGGCTTAAACTCACGCCGGGTGCATGTGCATGTGTGACCAGGATCCAGAAAGGAGAATGGAGAAGGGATTGTGGCGTGGCCATCCCCTCCGGGGGGTGATTTCTCGCTTTCTGTCTCTCTGTCTCTCTCTGTCTGTCTGGTGAGCAGAACACATGCACTCTATAGCAAAAACCTCTCAAAAAAAAAAAAAAAGAAAGAAAAAATTAAGGTGGGGCCAGTAGATGGCATTGGTTAAAGCTCTGAACTCCCACATGGTTGGCTGCAGTTCGAGTCCTGGACTCGGTGGCTTGAAACTCATGCTGGGCACAAGTGTGTGCATGCCCAAGATCCCACCCAAGAGGAGAATGAAGAAGAGATTATGGGGTGGCCATGCTTCTTAGGGGTAATTTCTCACTTTCTCTCTCTGTTACTATGGTGAGCTCACACAACCTATAGCAGAAATCTCTCTCAAAAAAAATTAATAATAATAATTAAGGCAAATTACCTCCAACATTAGAACAAAATGAAAGAGAGAGACAAGAGTTCTCCAACAGACCTGCCTGGGTTTTAAGGAAAGTCAGCACAGAGGGGCAAGCCTCCGGGTGTGGTAGCTGAAGACCAGGTCCCACATGGAAAGTTGTGTAGTTCCAGCCCCAGACCTAGCGGTATGAGAAATACACTAGGTGCGCGTGCATGTGTGTGCAGAAGGGCGAGATGGAGGAGGAGGGATGGCAGTGTGACCACTCCCCACTGAGGTGGTGCGCCATGCCTCTCTCTGTCTCTCCAGTGTGTCCTCTGGCAAACACACACACACATAAAGATCAGAAAAACAAATTGAAAAATTAGGAATTAAATAGTATTTCTTAAATTACTTTTTTTTTTTTTTAGGTTTTTGCCACAGGGCACAAGCACTCATCAGAGAAGAGAGCGACAGCGAGGGAAAGTGAGAAATCACTTCCGGGGTGGGGGGATAACGACACCGCAGTCCCTTCTTCATTCTCCTCCTGTGATTTTGGGCACGCACATGCACGTGCCTGGCATGATTTCCAAGCCATGAAATCTGGACTCAAACCCTGGTTGGCCATGTGAGAATCCAGCTGCTTTAACCACCAGACCACCTGCTGGCCCCTACAAAAAAATATTTCCCATAAAATTCCTTGGTATATTCCAGAATTCCTACTTCTTCTCTGTGTATTAGCTCTTTTAATCTTTGACTCTTGATTTCTCAGTGACTACACTCATGGCTACACATTTTTTTATCTTATAATCTTTTAGAGTTTTGCTCTAGGGCACGTACACTTGCCAGAGAGGGACCCAGAGAGAGAGGGAAAGTGAGAGATTACTCCTAGGGAAGATGGCCCCCACCACAACCCCTTCTCCTCCATTTTCCTCTCAGAATTTTGGGGGCACACACACATGCCCAGTGTGTTTTAAGTCACCGACTCTAGGACTCAGACTGGGGAGATGACCATGTGGAATCCAGTGCCTTAGCCACCACGCGCCCTCCACACATGAATGTTTTATTTTATGGACTGTATTTGTTATCATCATAACTGAGTCACAAGAGAGTCAAGGCACCTTTACTTAATCTGGGAGTCCACCTGAGCAGCTGAGGCCTCTGGGGAATCAGCCTCCTTCACAGTGCGCCCTACAAAACCGGGCCTCTGCCTCCCTCGCAGTAGACAGGGCCTAACGCTTAACTAATGGACGCCCACGGTGACCTTGCTGAGGCCTCAGATCCCTGGGAGGCAGACAGGGAGGGGAAGGACTCCCCAGCCCTGCCGTGACCGACCTCGTGGCCTGCTAGAAGACGTCTCCGCATAAACCCTGCACAGCCACACTGGGCCCTCCCTGCTCGGGAACCAGAGTCTAACCCTCGTCCTGATTGACGTCTTCTTTCTGCTGCTCTGGTAATCCCTGCTGGTCGTCAGGCCCTCGAGAACTGCCGCCCGTCCTTCCACCCTGCATGCCCAGGGCCACTGCCCCGACTCTGTCAGGTACCCCCTACCAGGTCTCCTGCCATCCTGCCCTCTGCTGTCCCTCACTGCTGCCGTCCCCTTCGGGCCTCGCCCAGCACAGCAGCGACGTCCGGGACCCCAGACCGCTCTCCCCGACTGCGGGCCTCCCTGAATACAACCCTTTCCTTAGTCCCCACACCTGACTTCTCCGCATCGGCTTTACTGAGCAGCAAGAGACAGGAACCTGACTGCGGGTCCTCTGATCTAAGGACATCCCTGCCTGTCCACATCATAATTACATTTATTTTTAAAAGTCTGCAAGTTGGTGGAAGGCATACATTCACTTTTTTACTGTTAAAAAGCTAATGTTTTCTCTTGGTTCAGAAATAAGTTTCTAGGGAACCAGCAGTTAGCGTAATGGCTATGTCGCTGGACTCCCACGTAGTCGACCGCAGTTCACATCCTGGACCCTGTGGCTTAGAACTCACACTGGGCGCGTGTGCGTGCGTGCCCAAGATCCCGAGAGGAGAATGGAGGAGAGGGGATTGCGGCGTGACCATCCCCCCTGGGGGGTGATTTCTTGCTTTCTGTCTCGATGTCTCTCTCTGTCTGTCTGGCGAGCGCACGCGCCCTACAGGTCTGTTGCGCGCGCGCACGCCCCCTACAGTGAAAATCCCTCCCCCCAAAAAAAAAAAAAGTTTCTATTGCCCTATGGCTCATTGTAGCCAGCTTCTTGCCATCTTCCTGAATAGCCATTGACTTTAAGTTTAGTAAGTTTTCTCTATAAATATTTTTAGTTAGCCTGTCTCTCATTCTATATTTTTTATTTAATTTTTTAACTACATGGGCTTTCTTTTGCCTTACAATATTAAGTAAACCTTTTTTCCGAATAGCAGTTACTACCATCCCCAGGAAATTCAGGAGACCCCAGAAAACGCTGTCATGATGTAGAAACTGACCACTTTCAGAGCTGTGACTGCTTGCAGAACCAAGTCAGAAAGTTGCAAAGCCAAACCACAGGACCAGCTCCAACCAGAGGGCGGTGGTGCAGCCACCGGACCTGCGCCTGGGTCCTGCGCGCAATCAAGGCGCTCGTGCGGAGGGAGAGGACCTGCGCGTGCGCACGGAGGCCCCGCCCGCCGCGTGACGTCACTCCACGCCCCGGGGGAGGTGCCTCGGAGCCGAGCACCTGTTCCGTGCTTCGGTCAAACAGCCTCTGCTCTGCTCCGCCAAACGGGTCCCCTTAGACAGCTGACGACATCCGGCGGGCTCCCTCTCCTCTGTGGGCCGGCGACGCTCCCAGGACCTGTGTGAAATACGTCTTGCCGGATTGGAATATCCGCTTTAAGACACACTAAAACCTGTACGTAACGAAACTGAGTTAGACCTTCCATTCTATTGACAGGAAATGCCCCTGCGTTCCCATGCTCATGTATTATCTTGTAAAATGCAGGCTTTGTCTTACTAGTTAGTATTAGAATGGTTTACTATTTAGTATTAAGGAGGTAGTTTTCCTTCACTACGTTTTTCCAACTTGCTCTGATCACTCTCATTATTTCATTACTTTATTCAAATAAACTTCAGAATAGTTGTCTTGTTCCCACTGAATTTGACCGCAGTACTTTAAGCAAAAGATTTTGTGCGAATTGCTCTAAATTAAGAATCATTTTACAAAGAATTATTACTTTTACAGATACCTTGTTAGTAAAGGACAGGGTTAGCGACGGGCATTTCTGATGTTCCTAAGCTGGATAGTTTTTCAAGAAACAAATTGATGGGGACCAGCAGTTAGCGTAATGGCTATGTCGCTGGACTCCCACGTAGTCGACCACGGTTCGCATCCCGGACACGGTGGCTTAAATCTCACGCCAGGCGCGTGTGCATACGTGCCCAAGATCCCGCCGAGAGGAGAGTGGAGGAGAAGGGATTGCAGCGTGGCCATCTCCCCCTGGGGGGGGATTTCTCGCTTTCTGTCTCTCTGTCTCTGTCTGTCTGGTGAGCACACGCGCCCTATAGCGAAAATCTCTCAAAAAAAAAAAAAAAAAAAGAAACAAATTGGTCGACCACGGTTCGCATCCCGGACACGGTGGCTTAAATCTCACGCCAGGCGCGTGTGCATACGTGCCCAAGATCCCGCCGAGAGGAGAGTGGAGGAGAAGGGATTGCAGCGTGGCCATCTCCCCCTGGGGGGGGATTTCTCGCTTTCTGTCTCTCTGTCTCTGTCTGTCTGGTGAGCACACGCGCCCTATAGCGAAAAAATCTCAAAAAAAAAAAAAAAAAAGAAACAAATTGATGAAGAAACTCCAGAGGTGCTGTCCCTGCACTATGGCAGGAGAGTTATGCAGAGAAATGGCCACTTCAGAACAAGTTAAAACGCTGGGTCAAATATTTAAAAGTAGTACTTCAATGCATGACTGGGTTGGTTTAAAAATACAAGTTCTCAGAGGCCGCAGGGAAAAGATAACATGAATCCAAAGCAAGTTGTAGAGCTGGCGTTTGCCGGTCGCTGGTAGCTTACGGCTCAGACTTCACGGTCCACACGGTAGTCAGGAGATACTGCAAGGCCGGAGCAAGGTGGGAAAACGTGGTTTTTCCTGAGTGACGTGGGTTAGTACCCTACACAGAACAGCAGTAGAGATAGCTAACCTATTTACTGTGGAATGGAATACAACAGGGAGAGAGACAGAATGAGCCTTGGAAATTACTAACTTGGCAGCAGGCCGCTGGCCTAGTGGTTAAGGGAGCTGGACTCACATGGCCTACTGCGTGGCTCAAGTCCTAGACCCAGCCACTCGAGAAACATGCTGGGTGCACGTAGATATAGACCAAGATTCCCAGCGGAGTGCAGAAATGGAGGAGATGGGCTGATGGCATGACCACAGCCCGCGGGGAGGCGCTTTCTCCCTCTCTTTCATTTCTCTGGCAAGCATACGTGCCCTCGAGCAAATTTTTAAAAAGAAAAAAAAATGACTAACACTAGCCCTCCCTCATATAGGATGGGTTAAGAATTCCCACTATCTGTGTGGTCTGAGAGTGACCCCTGGTCAGTGCTGTGCCCAAGGATCAGCAAAAACAAATACAAATCATTATAAATCATTCTATCTTTTAAAACCAAGGAATACAATTTAGAATTCAATACAATTTAGAATTCAGTGCTAGAGGAACAGACCAAAATGGTTGCCACAAACTAATTTAAACATAGGTTCCCGGGGGGCGGGGGGGGGTGTCACAAATCCGTAAGAAGATGGACAAAAAGTCAGAATCAATTGAAACAAAGTTAGCACCTGCCCATTTCTGACCTACACATAGAGTATCAGATAAACATGTAATAGAACTAATGAATAGACAAGGATTAAAAATAAAAGCAAAAGATATCACAAATTACCTACATCTTTGGAAAATAACCAAAGTGAATTACCAGAAAACTAATGTGTAAGAGTTGACTTTAGAAACTCAGTGTTGGGAGACCAGCAGATGGCATAATGGTTATGTCACTGGACTCCCATGTAGTCGACCATGGTTCGAGTCTCAGACCCAGTGGCTTAAACTCATTCCGGGCACATGTGCATACATGCCCAAGATCCCAAGAGAAGAATGGAGAAGGGATTGCTGCATGGCCATCCCCGGGGAAGGTGATTTCTTGCTTTCTGTCTCTGTCTTTCTGGCAAAAGCACATGCACCTTATAGCAAAAACCTCTCTAAAAAATAAAAATAAATAAAAACTCAGTGTTGGGGCCGGCAGGTGACATGGTGGTTAAGGTGCTGGGCTCCCACATGGCTGAATGCAGTTTGAGTCCCAGATCTGGCAGCTTGCCTTCTCACTTTCTTTCCCGCTGGTGAGCTCATTTAACTAATAGCACATTAAAATATAATAATAAATAAAATTAAATAATTCTAAAAAAAAAAAAAAAGAGGGAGTCAGAACTGAAGAAGACGGGGAACCAGCAGATGGTGTAATGGTTACGTCACTGGACTCCCATGTAGTCGACCACTGCTCGAGTCCCGGACTCAACTCACATCGGTCATGTGTATGTGCGTGCCCAAGATCCCGAGAGGAGAATTGAGGAGGAGGGATTACAGCATGGCCATCCTCCCTGGGGGGTGATTTCTTACTTTCTGTCTCTCTCTCTTTCTCTCTCTGTCTCTCTGGCTAGCACATACACCCTACAGCAAGAAAAAAAAAAAAAAAAGAACTGAAGAAGACAGACTCCAAGGCTCCGATTCAGGAGTCTCAAATCACCATAGTTAGGATAAATAAAAAGAAGCCCACATCTATTTATATTGTAGTAAATTTCAGACCATCCAAGAAAAGACAGATCACCTGACAAGGAGTAACTGCCATCCTGACCTTTGACTTTTCTTATGAATGTAAAGCCTAAGACAGGGGGTAACAGCTTCAAACTGCTGGGAGAGAATGACCATCCAGGGAAGAGTCAAAGAAACTGTCAGACAAAGGCTGAGACAAACAGTATGATCGGGCTCTCGCTGAGTTTCTCAAACTTTAATTTGTATATGGCTCACCTGGGGAGCTTATTAAAATACAAATTGTAATTCATGTCTGGGGAAGGAACTGAGCTGCTGCATTTCTAACAAGCTCCCAAGTGATATTTACGGTCCAGAGATAACAGTTAAAATAGAAATGTTCTTTAAAGTATCTATTTCGGGAAAAAAAAATCTTGAATGGATGGACTGAGGTGCAGACTAAAATAATGGCCAAAGAAATGATAACCTATTAAAAAGTTATTTAATCATTGGACAAAACAATAGTAACATCAAATTTGTGAGTTTAAAAATATGCACTAATGGGACCAGCAGTTAGCGTAATGGCTATGTCGCTGGACTCCCACGTAGACGACCGCGGTTCGAGTCCTGGACCCGGTGGCTTAAAACTCACGCCAGGTGCGTGGCATGCGTGCCCAAGATCCCGAGAGGAGAATGGAGGAGAAGGGATTGCGGCATGACCATCCCCCCTGGGGGGTGATTTCTCGCTTTCTGTCCGTCTGCGTCTCTGTCTTCCTAAGAGTGCACGTGCCTTATAGCAACAACCTCTCCAAAATAATAATAATAATAATAATAGTAATAAGCACTAATAGGCCCAGCGACAGTGGCACAACCGCAGTGTGACGCTCTGCAATGCTAGAAGCCATGTTGGAGACGAGGGTTCGGCTCCCGGGCTGACCTGTGCACACTGGGTGCACACACATGTATGCCCAGACCCTGGCTGCCTGGGAAGGAGGGAGGGAGGATTGCTGCACTGACCCTGTCGAGGGTGCGTCTCTTCTTTTTTTTTTTTCACTCTGTCTCTCTTTCTCATGAAAGAAAGAAACCAAATGAAGAGGAATCTTCCCTTTAAAAACTATGTAATATAGAATTAAAATACTGGACAATACCACATAAGTGGGGCAAGCAGTGACTGGAGCCAGAGCATTCTTCTTTTTTTTTTTTTTGTTCCAGGCTTTTGCCATAAGGTGCATATAGTCACTGGACAGAGACAGAGAAAGTGAGAAATCACCCCCCGCCCCCCGGGGGATGCCCATGTAATTCCTTTTCTTCTGTTCTCTTGGGATTTTGGGCATGTAGGCACAAGCACCCCATCAGGTCCAGGACTCAAACCACGGTCGGCCATGTGGGAATCCAGCGCCTTAACCACCAAGCCACCTGCTAGCCCTAAACCAGACCATTCTAAGGTTCTTATTTTGTGTGTGTGTGTGTGTGGGTGTGTGTGTTTTCTTTTTGGAGAGGTTTTTGCTATAGGGTGCATGTGCTTGCCAGAAAGACAGAGAGAGACAGAGAGACAGAAAGCAAGAAATCACCCCCCAGGGGGGATGGCCATGCTGCAATCCCTTCTCTTCCATTCTCCTCTCAGGATCTTGGGCATGCACACAAATGCACCTAGCATGAGTTTAAGCCACCGGGTCCAGGACTCAAACCGCGGTCGACTACATGGGAGTCCAGCGACATAGCCATTACACCAACTGCTGGTCCCTCTTTTTTTTTGTGTTTTCAAAAGTTGGTAAATTTTTATGTTTACGTTCATTGTTATATTAATGAAAAATGTAATTAATTAGAAAAGGATATATAAACTGTATAAACACAAATGCAATTAATAACATGATTATACAATATATACAGTAAAAGATGATAGAAATACAAGAAGTCAACAAATCCATTATCATAATAAAAAGATTTTTAAAAAGATTTTATTTAACCTTATTTATTTATTTATTTATTTAAATTTGACCAGAGAGGAGGAAAGGGAGAAAGAGAGAGAGAGAGTGAGAAAGCAAGCCACCAGGTCTAGCACTCGATCCATGGTCAGCCATGTAGGAGTCCAGTGCCTTTAACCACCATGCCACCTGCTGG